TGCAATGAGCTCAGGTACAGAAATCATTTGCACACCCTCCAAATGCCATTTCCTGGGAGCAAGAGCTCCGAGATGCCATCAGGAAAGAAGAAATTCTCGATTTAATCCTGAGTATTGAAGCAATTCTGCTCCAGGTGCAGCCGTCAGGGTGGCTCTGGAATGGTGATCATTGGGTTTGTGGGAGGGAGAGAGACACAAGTGGAAATTCCCTTTATTAAAGTCTTGCTTTAAAAGGCCATGAAGAAGTAATGACATAACAAAAAGGAGAGGAAAATGTAAAAGGAGCAGCAGAAAGGGCAAAGTATTTTTGGGTGGAATAAACTTATTTGGGTACAGGGTCAGCAGAACATGGTGAGGGCACATCATCCACTGAAAAATACAGAAACAGCCCTAAAATGGTCAAACTGTGGGGTGAAGGGAATGATTAGATTTAAGTAGAATTGTATTAAATGAGTAAGTAGTTTCTAAAAAGGAAAAACAGAGAGTAGCTCTCATGACTTAAACAAAACCAGAATTTAAGAGGAACAAACTTCTGAGAAACTGCAAATCTGCTGAAGAACTGAAGCTTGAAATAGAAGATTTTTTTTCTAAATAGATTAGAAGAACACCTGCCAGAACATTATCAAATAAGGTTTAAAAAGATATCTCCTGGAACAGAAGGGTTCCAGAAGAGAGGGAAGGTTTTATGGCTTTGCTTTGGAGCTACCAGGGAGAGTTCAGGGAAGTGGATTTTCACAGGGGCTGAGCCTGACCAGCCGTGGGCTCCTAAGGAGGAGCTTTCAAGAATAAAAGGAAAGGTGGGAAATGAACAGGAACTGATGGCACCCACCCAAGACGTTTAAAGGAATTCAGAGCTGGAATTGCTATCCATGGGTTGCGCAAAGTATTCCTTAAATCAACCCCAATATTCTAGCAAGGAAAGGTAACAACCAAGGAGTCAGCTTTCAAACGAAGCTTAGGAGCAGCTGGAGAAATTCAGAGATGATCACAGATTTCTACAGGTGTCTCTCTCCCTCCCACAAACCCAATGATCACCATTCCAGAGCCACCCTGATGGCTGCACCTGGAGCAGGATTGCTTCAATACTCAGGATTAAATCGAGAATTTCTTCTTTCCTGATGGCATCTCGGAGCTCTTGCTCCCAGGAAATGGCATTTGGAGGGTGTGCAAATGATTTCTGTACCTGAGCTCATTGCAAGCTCTTGTGTGGGCATAATGAAAGCTCCCATTTATGTGTTTATTCCTCCCTTGTCTTTGCTCTCCTCATAGTTCAGTGAATTCAGCCTGTGCAGAGTCTTAAAAGCTTTTATTTGGTGGTGTTGGGTTAGGACTGGTTTTCCTGGCATGGGCAGCATTCCTGCATCCTCTGGTGCCTGCAGACTCNAGGTCCCTTCCAGCCCAAACCAGTCTGGGATTCTGTGTTTTGTAGCCTTTGGCATTTTTTCCTTCAAGTTGCCCCTGTTTTTAGGGAACTGTTCAGGGAACTCTGCTGCTGCCCCCAGCACGTGGTGTCTGCCCCTGTCTGGCTGAGCCCTTGATGCAGCAGGATGGGTGAATCCTGCACAAAGTCAAATGATTCAGCTGGGAGGGAGAAAGGCAGTAATGAAATAGGGCAGCTGAGGCTGGAGACAATGAGGGTCACATTTGTTTGGCCTGTTCTGATGGAGATTGTTTCTGAGTAATACCAACTTATCTTGCCAGAATTTGCAGGCTCAGCCTTCACCTGAGCCTTTAAAGCTGCCTGGGAGTACAGGGAATGAATAAAGATGATCTTTATGGCAATGGCAGAGCTTTTATCCAGGGCTTGCCCACCCTGCCAGGGAACAATTCCCAATTCCCAATATCCCATCCATCCCTGTCCTCTGGCACTGGGAGCCATTCCCTGTGTCCTGTCCCTCCATCCCTTGTCCCCAGTCCCTCTTCAGCTCTCCTGGAGCCCCTTCAGGCCCTGCCAGGGGCTCTGAGCTCTCGCTGGAGCCTTCTCCTCTCCAGGTGAGCACCCCCAGCACTCCCAGCCTGGCGCCAGAGCAGAGGGGCTCCCACCCTCTCCAAGGGTGCAGTAGGTGATGGGGAGGTCACAGCCTTTAGTTATTCTCGTTCCTCTTGCTCTTGTTCCACTCTTTGCCCTTGGAGGATCTGCTTTTTTGGGGTTTGGTTTTTAAACTTTGAATAATAACCAGGTAAAGCATGAGAGAAGGAGGGAAATTCTGGGAACATCAGCTGTCCCTCTGTGTGACAATTAAATGTAGCTTTGGGCTCTGAGCTTATTGCAGAAGGTCTAAGGAATTTGGGGCACTGAAGGCTGGGACAGGAAAAGGAGATCTGTGGTCAGTGAGGCTCCCAAGGAGAACAGAGTGGTCAGGAGGGAGCTTTCCATGACCACCATAAAGAGTGAGTCAGCCCTAGGCAGGGCACTCTATACTTGGGAATGCTCTAAACCTGTGACTAAGCAGGGCTTGGCAGACTGGGCAGACACAAGAGAGGCAGAGTGCTGCTCCTGCCAATTTTCTGTGCTGACCTTTCCAAGGCTGAGCTTCCCTCTGAGTGCTTCCCAGGGAATTTCTCCCCCCGTTAATCTGGGAGAAGTTAGGTAGCTTTAGATTCCCTCATCTTTATTTAATGGAATAAAAGCTTCCCTTCATCACCATTAGACGTGATCCCCTGAACCTAAATCCCCTTTCTCTGCTGCTCCAGCGGTGTCACAGCCTCTCCTCAGAGCTCCCTGCTGCAGTTTGAGGCTCCTTAGACAGCCCTGCTCCTGTTCCACATGGCTGCTTTTCCCAGCAGAGAATTCCCACTCTCAGCCACTTGGGCAGATCATCTTGTTACTGGGATTAGAGCTGGAATCAAACCAGAACCCGTGGTTATGATAAATCTACTCCCTACTCCCCAAATTAATGACAGAAAATTAGCATTGTCCTGAATCTCAGGTTTCCTGAACAGAGGGATTTGTCCCTGTGTTTATCACTGGGATTGGCTCCTCCTGGTGTCCAGGTGTGAGGAGCCAAGGGAAGCAGCTCCTGGTGGAGAGGAGTCAAACTCCTGCCAGATCCCAGGTGTGGACAGCTCTGGATCACCAGGGATTGCTCTGATGGACCCTTCCATCTTGCTGTGAGCAGAACTGGGAAAAAAAGCAGTGGCATTTTGGAAAAGCACTGGGAAACTGGATAGAAGGTT